TGAGGTGACCTTATACTGGCATTTCGTATCTTTTATTATGATTTGGTTGTTAATATGTCTTATCTTTGTGCTCCCTCCAGCACAAATAATCTCCGTGGTCATAGGAAGAAGGCTAATAAATCAAGATCTAATAAACTTAAAGTGGGGTCTCGTTTTTGTCATCGAGTAGTCAATTATTGGAACGCCTTACCCGAACAAATGGTATCAGCCCCATCAGTGAATACTTTCAAGGAGAAGCTGGACCTTCACTGGAAAGCAGTGTGTCAGGATTAACACAGGTTCATCAACCTACTATCCTTATTACTGAAGACAGAAGACCGAATACGACCTCGTGAGAGACTTCTGAACTGTTTGACATCCATAGCAGTGCCAAATTTTTCTGACGTGTTTTTCAACATATCTAAGATTCGACATAACATATAAGCATGTCAGCTAGGACATTTCACATGAGTATTAGGGCTGAATGGTCGGTGTAAGTATACATGATGTTATATGTTAATATTATTTTTAGACGAGAGCACGTTCACGCCATTTTTACATGCATGACCTACAATTTAGAACATTCGTTTGTATAGAAAATGCTTTTAAAGTAGGGTTATTGAATATATGGAGTCAATAAAAATTAAAGCAGTACATTCCTACAAATGTCCCATAGGATTAATAATTAAGTTTATATTTTATTATTACACTGTGAGCATAGTTTCTAAAAAACCGTTTGAAATGGCATCGTGTCCATGCCGCGACTATGACAAACGCATACAATGTTCGAACTCGTTATTGTCGTGCTGGGATTCTGGTCATGCTAGGTATTTGAGCAATGCAACTATTTTAGAAGTTTGTGGATGGTATAAAGTAGGTATGATTGGTGTTTTGTATGGGCTGTGACCATCAAAATGCGTACATTTATTTCGTTTTAGGACCAAGAGGCTTCAAAGCTGTGCACTAAGGGCATGATTCTTAAAGAGTGAAATTATGGAACAGTAAGGCCTTTGAAAATAGACCTTAAATAATGTTTAACAGTTTGTAGTGGAATAGATAGTGGTATGATAATTTATTAGATAAAACTCATACTAACTGGTGCTGCTAAAGTGAATTGTGGCTAGAGCCTTCAAATAAGAGAATACAGTAATAAGTAACAATGAGTTATGATAGGTCTGTTTCTTTATCATCTCATTTTCATTCGATGCCAACGGCGAGGTTATAATGTAAAAGTCTGAGTTAGAATGGTGTAGGTTATCTTAGTCAAATAGCAAATTCAACATAAAGCCGGAGTAGTGAGCGAAGGAGAGCAACTTCAGCATCACCGGACGGCTGCTTCGTCCTCGGCCACAAATATCCAGAAACAAACAAAATATACAAACAAATAGGTTATTGCCAAAGAATTATCACTGAGTACAAATGGTTGAAAATTGCAATCATCATTAAACTAATCCACATTTTATGCAAAAGATTGCTAGTTTTACTTTCGTCACGCGGTGAAAGGTCAATTAAGTTGTTTTCTGATCTCAGAATTGGTCGTAAACATACCTATTTTGACGTAAACAAGAGTATTGTATCGAATATAATTTAACACCATACCGATTAGTCTGATGATAAAATTGCGTTTGAACATGAATCAATAAGTTTATGTATAACCGTTCGAAGAAACGGAAATTTACCACAGACAAGTAGTTATGGGCTGTGTAAATTTAAGCCGAGCCTACCAACTTCGATTTCATACTATGATCCACAAAATGGCCTTCCATATGTAATTGAATTATTAGACCCTATACATCTGAGTTGAAAAGGAATAATGACTGCCTTACATGCGCAATCCCAAGTTGAAAGTATATCTCTCAAGTTTGATTTCACGTAACCTTTCGTAAAGTCAGTCAATCAATTAACATTCAGTGAAACGCCTCCCAAGTAGAGATGCGTTCACTTTCGGATAAATTTCAGTATTATCTCACTGGTCTTACATGGTGGGTTTATAACCACTAAGGCGCTTAAGATACTGCAGACATAACTGAACCGTACAATGTTGCTTTTCAGGAACCCTAACAATTATACTTCAAAGAAATATAAAATAAAAAAGGGGTTAAAGACCCCGGAAACAATATGTTTGAATACAATACCAAATAGAAGAATCATCAGACTACTGAGTTGTCAACTTAGGGAATAAGATGTGTTTACTCGAGGGCAGTGTAAAGGTATCGTCATGATGTTTGGCCAGGAGCTTTTAGCTAGTAGGGTACGTCAAAAATGACAGGTCCAAAAGTGTTTTAGCCCTATTTCTATGTGTCTTAGACGTTAAACTCCTAGTAAATATATATATTTCGTCTGTTTACAGTCCACTGAATACTGACCAACATTCTGCCTGGTTTAGATGTGAATAGCTGTTTCCTGATCACCAAGTGACATCAGCCAAAATGCTATTTAGCCAAAAGGATGAATGAGTTTTGCTTACAAGTTCTCATAACGAAACTCCTTAAGATTATTGGTGTACCTCTTGGTGAAACTACGATGTAGACAAAAACAAAGATTATGAAGAAGTTTATTGATAGATCATTGCTTCTGGTATAGGAAGAACAACATTTGATGCAGAAAAAACAGTTTACAAGTCGTACATAAAGTGAAGTTAAAAATACAACCACAAAGAACTTATAGCAAACAGTTCCTGTCACGTCTCCACACTCGCATATACTCCGAGTCATGTTTTTTTTATCGTAAAACAGACTACAAAGAAATAAACATTGAAGAAACTGTGGTGTATGTAGCGTGTGCTCGACAATCGCTGTACTGAAAGAGAAAAATGACCAGAAGAGCCAGGAACAAGAAGTGATTTCTAAAGCATAGTCGTTTACGATGAAACAAACTAAGCTTTACTTAATTAGCAGGTCGAACTCAGAACAATCAGCCTACAAAATTAAACTATAATTAAAGGAACCACTAACGGGGATAAGTTATCTTTTATGTCAGATACTTCACTAGGTAAAACTCTAAGTATAGTGTTTCGAAGCCTGGGAATAAATATTTCTGTGAAGAAACAGTACTTCAATATGTACAAACCATATACGTAGAATAATCTTACTGAATGGTGAAATACTCATGGGATTTAATTCAATTGATTTTAGTTCTACCACCTTAAGTTCTTGTTTAACGTGGTTGCAACCAGACGAATAAGTCCTATAAAATAAATGAAAGGCAGAAATGTTAATTGGGGCGTAGAATTAATTAACGTGCACTTAAAACTAAGATAACTCCGCCTGGAGCCCCTCTGGGCTACTGTCGATCCTAAGCCCGGATAAAGGAGGAGGGTTGGGCATGGAGTTAGAGACCTCATTCCGTAGAAAACTAACCCGCTAAAAAACTCTAACCAGAAGATTTAAAACAAGGATGCGTAAGGGCTCACCCAAACCAAGAACAGATTTAAGTCAACACAAATCCCAACTTTGCGGGTACAAATAAAAAAACGGGAGCATGATCAAGGACAAAATGTACCTCAAATCAACAAAATTATCACACTGAATATTAAAGGACCAATGTCATTTGGTGACCTTGAATGAGAACACTACAAGTTCTTTGAAATTCCAAGGTGTCCACAAACTCCTTAACGTTAGGGGGGGTTTGACAACTTGCCAATCCTGTGTCGAAGATAAAAATCTGGAAAACTATCCTACGTACTGTAGTTTGTCTTGAAAATTTTGTGCCCAACACCTATTTGGCATAAAAAGTCGGTGACCGAATTTGAAAAAGCGGAGAGTGATTACGAAATTTACTTAGCTCGTAAAGTGAACATTGGGAGTGACTAGTTAGTGGTCAATCGAAATGTAATCAAAGTCGATACATACAAACAATACACACTGAGAATCAAATTGTTACATGGAACGTCGCAGAGACAAAATTGGTTAGCTTACAAAATATAGCGAAATTTTGTCCATGAAATTTAACAAACCATGAGTGATGTATCTTGAACCATAAGTAGGAACAAGAACTTCAGTTCCGAATGCTCGGTGACTTTATGTTTTACCTGAACGAATAACTGCCGTGTTGATTTCTGCAGTTGGAGATTTGCACTTGATACTCCGACTGTGAATTTCAGCTATACCTGAAGAAGTCAAGTCATTTGTTTATAGCAAGTATTTTCACAAGATCATAACCAGGAACTGATAGTGAATAAGAATAAATAACCTTACAGATGGATATCACTGTCGCCCTTGAGAGTGAGATAATTGTAGGACACATGGGGTAAAGAGACTAAGTACAAACCGTCTAAACTCTCCGACAACAAAGCTGAATGATCATACACTTAATTTCAATTACAATGATTAACAACTAGATCACACAACATAATTGTCAACACAAACAGTCATACACTAGTTAAATAAATACGAAAGCAATTAGTGGAAGTTTTATTTTGATTTGCATAACCCCCACACTGCTTTCATATTTTGCCACAGCGAACATACGTGTGTTAAACAAAGTCAACATTTATGCACTAACTCAAGCCAATAAGATACAACCAAACAATAGTCCATTGTCCTAACATGTCATCTTCATCGACAATGATGTTTAAAGCGTTCAATAAATCACTATCACACCACTATCCTGAAATTATATGATGTGTTATAGAGTAAATATGTTTGAAGGGTAAGATTTCTAATATTTAGCCTTCAGCCCACTAATTACACGAGTAGATATGGGTCGATGGAACGAGAGAAGGTTTGTTTGCAGGACGTATTTAACACACTAGGAAAGTGGAATGAGGAATGCTGAGACAAAAACACAACTCGTACTCCCATAGACACATAACATCAACTCAAAGACAACACCCAAAATGAGCAGCCACCAAGTTGTATCTTCAAATCAAAATAATAATTGGACAGATAAATCCGTTTAACAAATAATTAATAAAAAGAAGCTAGATCAATAAGATAATAAAGTCAAATTTTAATTTATTTCTTGAAACGATCAAAAATAACATATATACAATATATCGTAAGGAAAAAAAGCCTAACGTTTTAGTCAACATCTTCAAGTCCAAGTGAGTCATTATCTGTATCTGAATTTTCTGCATCTGATGAAGATGTGGAGAGTGATGATGACGAAGAGTTCATTTCCTTCAATAACAGAAGTGATGGATCACGGTAACTACAGGGAATAAATAAATAACATCATCGAGATATAAAGAGTGACTTTATAGAATAAGAACTGTTTAATATTTGTATAATATGTAGTTTCAATAGTTGTGATTCGTCAGCTAGCAATAGTATACAAACCAAAAAAAAACATTTTTATTGGCCTGTCATATAACAAGAAATAAATGGTCCATGAATCCAATTTCAAAGACAATTGTGGAAAGTACCATGAGGTTGTAAGAGCTGAATGTATGTGGTTAAGAGTCAAACAATAATCTGGTGTTAGAAAAGAACCATTATAGCTAGAAGTTGGAATTATTTACTCCCTTACTTTATGTAGGGCGTTACATTCCTTATTTTCCTCTACTGAATGATGAAATGTTTGTGTATTTAAATATTATAGACATGTAATAAACGGTACGACGAAACTATTTAAAGAGGGGGTGAATATTGTTCTAACAAGGCAAATACTGCACGAAAATTGGTCTGTTATACAATATACATAAAGAATCAAAATCAAAAAGTGAATCTCATTAACTAGATATTTTCGTGTAGTATGATTTAACTATGTTATATAAGGGACAATATAACCATCTAATTCCTCAAAATTTGGTAGATGAAATGGCATAGGAACCTACGATTCAATAATACGAACCTCGAAATGAGTAATAATAGTGCAAATTGACTTAAGCTCAAATCATGTACGGTTTATCAGTGTATGACAAACGTATGTCCAAATAAATTTATATGCATATATAATCCAGTAGAAGCATTGTCAAATAGATCACGTAGGCTAAAAAGGTAAGGATCTTATTACAAATAGAGATTAAATCATTTCCACTGCTTAAAATAGACAGTTCTTTTGAATGATTTCCTAGCTTTTATAACGGATCATATAATATAGTTCGGATTTAAGAGTAGAAAAACTTACCGATTCAAATTGATTGGTTCTACCGGTATACTAGGATAAGGTGGTAATTTTAATTTGATTCGAGATTTCTAAATAAAAAAGAATAAATGTCATAGAAGAGAATACAATAGTACACAACTATTCTCTAACAAACTATAATTTAATATCATTTATACTTACATAGGCATGTTACCCCTAGTGGAGGAGCATAGACAGCTCACCAGCATTCTTCATCAAACTCTGTAATGAGCGATTATTTCCAGTTGCTTTTGGTTGCTATTCATCCTTTTCATTTCTGCTTCCAATTCTCGGCAGTATGTTATTCGGCCTTCCTGTCTTCCGCTCCCCTTTAGGATCCCAAGTTAGCACTTGCCTCGTGATACAGTTTGATGATTTCCACAATGTAAGTCCTATCCACTTCCAACATCTTTTCCTAATTTTCTCTTCAGTTAGAAGCTGGTTCGTTTGCTCCTACAGTAGTAGAAAGTTGTTGCTCATAGCATCCGGCAAACAGATCTGGATTATCTTGCGTAGACAAATATTTATGAATACTTGTACTTTTTGATGATGGTTGTGGTAGTTCTCCAAGTCCCAGCTCCGTACAGTTGAACTATCTTGACATTCGTATTGAAGATTCCGACTTTGATATTGGCTGACAGTTGTTTTGAGTTCCATATATTATTCAACTGTAGGAATGAAGCCCTTGCTTTGCCAATCCTTGCCTTTACGTTCTCATCGGATCCTCCTCGTTCATCGATGATGCTGTCCACGTACGTGAAAGTTTCCACCTCTTCCAGAGTTCCTTCATCACATTTGGTTGAGATGGTGTCCTTAGATTTCTATTTCAGGATCTTGCTTTGTCCTTTGTGTATGTTGAGGCCTACTGCTTCAGAGGCTGCTGCTTCACTGGCTGTCTTCGTCTGCACTTGTTGGTGTGTATGGGATAGAAGAGCTAGGTTATTTGAGAAGTCCGAATCTTCTAACTAATTCCGAGCTGTCCATTCGATTCCGTGCTTCCCGTCAGATGCCGAAGTCCAGAAGAAAGTGAAAGGGAGAGAGTAAGCAAAGTTGTTCGACACCGGTCTTCACTTAGAATGTACCTGCGAGCTATCCTCAATACACTACTTTGCAGTGTAGTCCGTAGTATGAATTCCGTATGATGTTGACGACCTTCTCAGGCACACTATAGCGTCGAAGAGGGTTCCATGATGTTCTCCTATCCACACTGTCAAACGCTTTCTCATAGTCAAGGAAGTTGATGTATAGTGAAGAGTTCCACTCAACTGATTGTTCAACGATGATTCGTAGTGTCGTGACCGATCCTTACGAAATCCAGTCTATTGGTGTCGAAGTCGGGCGTCTACTGAATCTTTCATCCGGTTCAGCAACACTTTGTTGAAAACATTTCCTGGTACTGACAGTAGAGTGATGCTTCTGTAGTTTTCACATTTGCTCAGATCTCCTTTCTTTGGCATCTAGATGAGGTGTCATTCTTCCTAGTTTGTCGATACTTGTTCTACCCCCAAATCTTCCTGAATAAAGTGTGAAGCATGTTCGCGATTGCCTCTATATCTGACTTCAGTGGTATATTGTCAGGTCCTGTTGTTTTCCCACTCTTGATTTGTCTGGCAGCCATGGTGATTTCTTCGATCGTTAGTAGAGTGACATCTATAGGAAGGTCTGTGTGTGCTGCTTCGATGTCCGGTGGACTCAATGGAGCTTATTTATTCAAGAGTTCCTCGAATTCTTCCACCCATCTGTTCCTCTGTTCCTGAATCTTAGTGACTGGCTTACCTTCTTTGTGCTTTACCGGTCTCTCTGGTTTACTATATTCTCCTGCTAGATTTTTCGTTGTGGGATATAATTGTTTCATATTTCCTTCTCCTGCAGCTTTTTCTGCTGTCACTGTTAGGTCTTCCACGTGTTCCTGCTTGTCGGCTCTAAACGTCATTTATACTGAATGCAAATTTACAAATAAATCATAGTTTCACCTTTGTTGTCGAGAACAGCGAACGATCTTAATAGTGCTTAGCCACTGGTTTAATCAGTTAAGTGATACAGTAAAAACATAGGTTACGAAATTCTAGCAAGCTTCTCATATCAATGACCTTCGAAGGAGACAGATGTGAACAAGGTTATAGTGCATATTACATACCCATTCCTTAACAGACAAATGACTCTTGATTATCATACCTAGTGTAAGCAAGTTGAGCCTTTCTGTTTACTAAAATTAATAAAACTTAATTGTTTACAACTCACGGGAATTTAGTTTTAAGGTATATACACATGACAGCATTAAGAGATATCAGTCTGTACACCAAGATAAGCTTAAGGTGTTAGGACACGTTACGATTTTTCAGAAATGACTTTTTGTAACCATAACAATAGCTATTCTTGATAAAATCCTTTAGAAAACTTTCTTTTTATGTGGTTGATGTTCACAATACGATGACCTACACGGTTTAATCAACGTTTTTTCCAAGTTCGCTGTTGCTATAACCGTTGACAGTTAAAAAAATTGTGAAGTAGGATTGAAATGAAATTATGAATTTTACAAGACATTTACTGATACGTAAACTTTTAGTGTCTAATGCATAAAATCAGATGGTAAAGAATAGTTGTCTTAAAATTCAAGGAGAAAACTAAGATAGCCCACCCGTTTAATACACATTTGAGTGACGGTTGACTAAGGATCCCAAAATATTGTAAAAAGCTAAAAATCAAAACATTTTCCATAGACTATCTGATAACTTCAACTCAAAATGCTACAACAGATATGAGAAACAGTCTAACATTTAATAAATACGTTTTTTTCCAAATGAATGTTCAACGACGAATATCCAGTTCAATCGACAAGAACTTTACTTAGTATGTATGACGTTGTTCTTAGTACTCGGTTTATACCACGTTCTCTAGGTTTACTGAAAACACGTGGATATATGAAAGTTTGTACGATAAGTCACGAATTATACTTGTCATGTTAAGGCTAAAGAGATTATCCAATTGTTCAAATACCGAACTAGGAGATATAGACCATAGAGTTGGAGTTTATTTGTTAAATCAAGAAAATCAAGTGTTTAAACTAATAAATAAGAATTGTAATATTGCTTTATTGCTACCTAGAATTAATAAATAAATCCATGTTTATAAACACTCCTACTTTATCCAGGCTCGTGACCGATAGTAATCCTAGAAGAGATCCAGGGGGAGTTATAAACACATTTTTAAAATAAAACAAATCTGATTTCTTACTTCATAGTTTGCTTGTACATTTTTCATTAGGTCTATTGATTGATCTATATTGAGTGGGCATAATTGACGATGCCCAAGAGGATCGAATAATTGATTACCAGAAGATATCCATGCTTGTATTTTGTCACTTAATATATATTTTTTATCATGTTTATTAGTAACATCATCGAATTCGACATTATCACAGTGATAATCTAAGTAGGACAATAAAAATGGACGATGCTGTTTATTGGATAACTTCGTCGATGAGAATGGCTTCATTAGATTTTTATGATGATGGTTATTATTATTTTCTAAATAACATCTTTCATGACGATCAAGATTTCTAGGTAGAAGAAGAAATGACAAAAACAACGAGTAGAAAAAGTGAACAGAATGAATGAGTTTAAAACGATCGTATCACGTTTTGTGACAGAAGATAGTCTTAGAGAAGTATCTATTCGAGGAATTTAAAACAAAACTTCCCACCATGGGCTAAATAAAGACAAAAACATAGGGCGTAGGTAAATGGAATAGAAATTAATAACTGAACAAGACGAACAATAGATTTCATACAACTAGGCATTATTATAAATATGAATAAAGCTTTATTTAAATGTGATAAGTCCGATAAATTATGAAGTTCTAGGAACTTTGTGACTCAACAATATAAACCAATGATAACCAATGCATAGCTTCGAGGTTAACAAATACCAATAATTTACGGTGAGGTTAGTGTATCAAATCCAGACCAATTTTCATTTAAATAGCTCCTATACAAGGGAAATAACTAACAGTCATCCAACTAGTAGCGAATGAATACATTTTAACTTAATAAGAGAACACTTTCTAGCTAATCTCCTTCATACCACAGTGTCTGAAAGCAAGAGAATTAATATATATTAAGATTACTCAAACTGAGTTAGTTAAAAACAATTTTGAATATTGAAAAATATTAGTAAACATTAGCTTACTTGTAAACATTACGAAAATAAACATAAAGTATACGAATAGTTTCTAGATCATCAGTGACAAAAGCATTTCTAACGATATCCGCTTCTTCATTTGTGTGACTAGTAATCTTGGAATTTCCTGAAATCGATGATGATGACGACGGATGATAAGATAAAAACCCAGCAAATTGTTTCCACCCGCCTAGACCAGCTAAACGGGTTAAACGGGTTCGACCTAAACCAACAACGGCTAATCGACGTAAAATATTGTCAGATATTTTATTCAAATCATTGACTTTGTTGTTTGTTGAAGCCAAAGTAGATTTATTCGTCATGATACTGCAAGCAGTTTTAAGTTCACGTAAAAGATATAGCTCAATAGGTGCCTGTCAAAAGTGTATAAAAATTTAAATAAGTATGAAACAATGCTAACAAACATATTTATTGAAACTAACGATTTGGTCTCGCATTTTAAACATTTCAATGAAAACTAGTGGATACAGCAGTATCTCAGATAATAGATTTGAATATTAGGGTGTTTTGGTTGTGATAACTTCAAACTCAGTCCATTAAATGAATGTAGGCCATATTATTATCGCAAATAAGTAGTGGAACCTTGTTTTTCAGGTAGTTTTTCTTGGATGTTCTAGCTATTTTCAGTAAGCACTTGACTGACTTGATCAACAAAACCATAGAAACAATGATGCCAGCTATATGACCATTGAAACCAAGGAATAAAAAAATGTTTCTCTGTAGCTCATAAATTCTCAGGAGTGATAAGACACAACTCCAAATTCGGGGTCAGACCAACAACCTTAATGTCGTACGGAGAGTATAATACTTCTAGATCATTAAATCAGAATCAAACCGTTCATTGTGTCCTCACTAATGACTGGCTACCAGATGAGTTTCCGTACATTCTAACAGGAAACAGTAACCTCTAGAATCAACTAAGTGGAAAATGATGTAGTTATTGAACGATGACATTGGTTAAGGATCGTTGTATATTACGAACAGGCTGAAGATGAGACTATGACTTAGTAATCCAGCGTACAATGCTTGTTGAGATTCGTGAAGATCCTTTATTAAATCCCATAAGAATTCGTAAGCGTCCACTACTGAGGAGTTCTAAGGTAGAACGAAACAGTTTCAATGTATTCCCAGGTTCTCAGTAGAGGACGATAATGAAGATTATTTGAATTAAAATAAGTAATAATCAATAGTGCTGAGTATAAGTCGATATATATACAATCGTAAACAATGCTGTTAGCTGAATCTAACAGACAATTGATGCTTTACAGTTCACTGCAAACAAGTAGAATGAAATAATCATAAGAATATTTACGCGTTTAAGTTAACAAAACCTTTTTTTGTATTTACAAGTGTTGTAACGTGAGATGCTGCAGATTGGAGGTTAGCGAATTACCGATCGATCCAAAGACGTGTAAGACACGTAAGTGGCCTAGAGTTCCGATTGGTCTCGCTTCCCTGTCTAGCCCGGCCAGTTGAGTTCAGAACACAAGTCTCAGCCTCTGAGATATGAATCATTATATTTCAGACATACTCTGTTTATATACCAATCAAGCAGACCACATCGTACCATAAAATAGAAAACATTTGTACAATATTTGACAAGTGAAATAAATATTGACCAATAGGAAATGTCCATTTAAAGTCCAAGGACACCATTAGACTTAACAGGATAATTATTGGGATATTTTTTTGAATATCCCAACAACAAGGGATACTACTGTAAGCAAAATAAACTCAAAGAAATCAGGAAGATCAGAATTTATAAACGATCAAAATATTAAACAAATTAAAAAAAGTAGTTTACCTCCATCCACATTATTGTTTTAGCTTTGGACAACTTCAAATATTCCAATGAATTTGAAAAATACCGTAATACTACATTATTCATTGTGTTTTCGTCGTTATTCGTAGGTGAAGGCAACTTGTCAAACATTAATTCATACAGTTCATAACACTTTTTAATAAATTCTCGACTGATATGTGTAGGTGATGTTTTACAATGTGACAAATGATTATCTTGTTTTTCCATATCATTCATGAATTGAACAATTTTATCAATCTTATTATTACTAATATTATTATCATTATTGGCATTATTACTGAGAGTTATTGTATTCAAGGCATAAAAAGCATTAGAGAAATAACAATCATGCGGCTGAGCTGAACGAACAATATTCGAATGACGCGTAGAACGTATTAACCGACTAAGATAAATTATATCATCGAAATTGCTAGAATTATTAATGTTATTATTTGAAGAGTAGCATATAAGGCAATAGGTCCTTGCATTCGATATTACAACTTTATTTTTACCACTGGTTGTTGACATAAATAACCATAAATCATGTAATGCATGTGTTGGTTGACTAAGTGATATTTTTTTCAATGGTATTTCATTCAAAGTGGATTTCTAAGTATTTTTTTAAAAAAAGAGCGTAAAATAGAAAGTTGAGATTCTTATAATGGTAGACTTAGTTTTTTGAAAAAAGGTTATAATAATATAGTGAATTATATTCATGTGTCGTTTGACGGCTCAAAATTACAGTTTTTGTTAATAAATGGTACATCTTACACGTTAGGATAACCGTAATGACTTTTTTCCAACTCATATTTCTGATTGAAATCATGAGTCACTTGAAGCTAGACCACCATGGAAAACCTGGAAGCACTGGACGGCCGTTTCATCCTAGTATGGGACTCCTCAAATTGGTTACTCTTACTTTATCTTGCTACTACTAAGATGCCTCATGGTTGTATAACTGCTGCTATATAAACATAACTGTTTTATTACAAATTTTTAACTTCTATTAAAAATAAAAAATTTATAATCTTTACATTAATTGTGAGTGCGGAATATTGATGTTAAAGTATTGCAGTGCATTAGCTGTTCAGTCCAACTGGTTTGCATGTATTCCTTATCATATTAGAATCTCCCGATTGATTGTAATTTGGGATTACAGTAGGCCATCGTAAATCATAACAATGTGGTTTCACCTAGAAAGACTTAATTGTTAGGAGAAATGAGCCTGATGATTTTTATCTTGATAGCTGGCAAAATGAATTGCGTTATCAATAAATAATATCAACGAATGAAAAAAAACTACTTCCAAAAATGTTAGTAATAGGAAACTTTGCAAACAAGATAAGAAAAACATACGTAAAAATGTAATTGGACTTCAAGAAGCTGAAATAAAAATCCGATGGTTATAATGACCCTTCATTACAAAGGAAATAATAATTGCTAACAAATAACTTATCTGTGTATTGTTGAATGAAATAAATAGATTAGTATCTTTTATAACATGGACTAAGGGTGATGTGATGCATATGAAATACAATAATGTACAACACAAATTTTCCTATGATAAAACATCTAATGTGATGTCAATGTAGGATAGAATATGGTCACATACTGCGAATAGATTAGTTAAACAGATCTGAATGTCTATTTAATTTCTAAATGAATACTACGTAAGCAGACAATCGGATGAAAACAGAGGGGAAACTTGTGTAACACTGTAAAGATTAAAGTTGTTACACTTCACAAATGGTATAGCAAAAGAAATGAACAACAAGAAGATAGTAGTAAGCCTGTTAATCAAAAAAACAACATCAATAGTAATAAAGAACTAAGAGATAAAAGAAGAAAAGATATTAGGATATTATTATTTATTTAAAACAATAACGATTTAATGTGTCTGTCATAACCCGATCAATTTTAAGCCACATAACAAACAATAACTTTGCGTATTTCGCTTGCATTTACGAAATTAATGTGGTTCCGATCAAATACTCGTACAATGAACAAATATTCCAACATACACTGATGAGTTCGGTGTAGCAAATGAGCAACGGGAAATTAAAAAACTTAATACGTATTAATAACCAACTTGTATGAAACTTCGAGAAGGAATTGCAAGTCAATAATTTATTTTCAATAATACGATATTATTTGTGTACTTGATATCCATTAGTGTGTTTATAAGTATACCAAATAATACTTATTTGCACATATAAATTTACTCACTGCGTTAATACAATTCATATCAGGAAACCATGTGTTTACAAGACCAGCACGTAAAAGGCTTCGATTAGGATTGCTAAAATAAATAGAAATAATTTTTTTAAAAACTAACGACTAATTAACATATGTTCTCTAATCGGTAAATATTTTTGACCAACTCAAGTCATAAGAATAGTAAAAGTGAACCAGACTACAGTATCTCAAATTGAAGTGGATCGGGTTGATAAAGTACCTACAGATTTTAGGATATAAATTAAAGGTGAAGTTATCTTGGGAAGTTTGACATGGGGCTGAGATACTATGTTTCAGATGAATGCCTTTTACACCTATTGAAATCCGAATGGATCAACGAATGGTTTGTTTTGTACTTGTATTTTCTGTACACTATACTTAGAGCTCCATCAATGCATGAGAAAGATGCTGTTCAGTTTTCAAAATTGACTTTCGAGGGAGAAATAACCATAGGGAGTTGAATACTTAGCCTACAAGATGATATTTCCAGCTCACAGCATCATTTGTTTCAACTTTGGTCTTCCCAGCTACACAGTATTTCAAGCAACCAAAGTGTGACTCGAAGCGTAATTTGAAAATAAACACAAGTTATAATCTACGAAGTACGCGCAGGAAAAGTAGTTCATGAAACATGTAGAGTCTACAGAAGATTTCATTTAAAATGTGTAAGGATTATTTTTGTGAAAAGATAGTCTGTTTTATTAAGCCGCTTGCTTGATAATGTAATGCAAAATCTTGATACTCACTTTTTGAGAGAATCTTAGTGAAACGCATGCTTGTATTTCATATATTTACCTACGAAGTATGTGTCTGTATTTCGTCAAGACCAACAAAGCACCTCAAAATACATTTATGGAGAATTTATTTACATTTTCTTGAAATTAATGAATAAACAACCAAAAAACACAAATGAATATCACATGGAAGGCACAGAGAGTCCTACAAACAACGATTAATTGTTCGGGAGTACCAGGGAAAACAAACGTATGGTCAACAAATTTGAACCAAACAAAAGAAATTTTGGGGTGTCTACTTAATGTGAGTTTAGGAAGTAAATAAACACTATATTTTCTAAATACGTGGTGACCATCATATCTACATGAAAAAAAACGAAGTAAAATCGTATTGTGGTACATTACATCCCACTTGCTATTCATTATCCCTAGCCAGATAATGGGGATCAGATTGACCATAGTACCAACAGAAGCCACCTATCAGAGCTAACCGATAACTGCTAGTTATATTATAGTAGTAATTTAAACAACTGAACGATTGTGAACAATGAAGCCAATAGATGCTGGAATCAACAGCAAACAGGGTACTCAATATACTGAGCTGTATCTTGGTAACCCTCCATACTAAGTACCAACTTCATCTCAGTGATACAATTCAGTCCACAAATCAAATCTGGTTTCTAAATGTAAGTCATCTATAGATACTATGTTTTGTTGTTACTCATTTTATTTCCCGAAATTCTTTGAGTCAAGAACCAATTAATATGAATGTTTAATTTTGTAAGGTTCTCAAATAAATTAACTGTAAACAACTTCCAGAATACCATAGCTCGGGTATTTTTCCATACTGAAAATTGTGCAAGTTATGACAAACAAATAAATTCGTAAGTTTAAAGCTTGCATAACCTTGTTCAAGCATGATTACCATTGAAGCTTTGACAGGTTGTCAGTGACATAAGTGTTCACCCCCAGATGCCCTGGTACGGCCGAGAGTGGAGAGAGTACGCTCTCCCTCTCGAAATACTCTCACATGGCCACACGTATATAGCCTCTGTCGAGGAAGTCCTACTCACTGCCTTCTCGCGGAGTGGGTGTTATTTACGAAATTGAGAGGACGAAAAGAGAATTCCGGAGCATTAACCGAGTTGGTGGACACGGAGAGTCCACCTAGGGAAGTTGGAATACCCTGATTCCAAACCGATGGTGCCCATGGGCTCCAGTATCCTGACAGAACAAATGGCGTATGAACCAATTGTTGGTCACTGGCCACCATGGGACTGCATCTCCTTACGATGCTCCACTGCCTTGTGGATGTGACCTTTAGGTCGAAGGCTCCGGGTATGGCCCCCTAAGAAAACCACCTGCTTCGGTTTGGCTACCCGGGAAGTATTACAGCCCTCACACAAATGAAATGAGATTTGTGTGGCGCATATGTATCTGGTTCCCCCTTGTGTCAGTATTTATGTATTCAAATAAATAGACTTAAGTGTTCATAGTAATCAATACATTATGCTGCTTTGCACAGAAAGTAACAGAAAAGCGAAACAAGGCAGCGGGGGTAAAATAGTTAATTACAATTATTATTTTTATACCGAATGCTTACCTACAATCCAATACAGATAAATATACTAAATTACCCACGAACCGAAATGTGAAGGTGAACCATTGGAACGAACTTGAAATATAAGAGCATGGAAGATTTAACGATTGTCTAATGCCAGTATACTCATCATACGATAAACATGAAATATTATCATATTTTTCATCCGAATCTGAAGTAGTATCATTACAAGCTGTAGTAATATAATATAATGAAGTAATACATATGAAACTAGTCAAGTGCATGAGATTTTTCCAAAACGTCAGCCATTGAATGACAAGGATGATATGGAAGTATTAAAATATTTTCACGGTACCAATCGTAAAACATGTGCCCGTGATTAAATGTAAACTACGAATCACACTCATCTTGAGGTACTTATTCAAATCTTGACGGTGGCATGCGTTGAGCAGATAAATTATGGAAATAGAGATCAGATCTTACAGGATAATGAAAGTTGTTAAAAGATCACGGTAAAATTTATGAGTCTTACATTTAGACTACCTATTCCTTTAAAATATGATAATACAATATACTGTAGAGGCATGAATATTAAAAGATATGGAAACCAAACTAGACTAAAATTTTATCTAGAATGACTAAGATTTAGACATGATCTACTGCAAGTAAATACTAACTAATTTAACTGATGAAACCCTCAGTACATGTATTTTGATCAACTAAATTACGTTAATTAATTTTTCAACTCAATTGTACACGAATCCACATACTCGTGAACTAACTATTCATTGAACTGGGACCATTATTTCAAATGGCAACACTTAACCTGCTCAAACCTTAAACCGTTAGCATACATACAAAGTAACGCTAAACCCACTTAAATATACACGAATACACACACATGTCTTGTATAGAATCACCTCTGACCTGAATGATAGTAACATTAGCACAATTAGGCTTGTTCAGGGTACATTAAATGTTTTGACTTTCCAATTCGTACCATTTAAAATTGTTCTAATGTAATTTGGTTTGTTCTTCTATGACGAAACAAATTACAATACCAAAGGTCAGCAATCCAAATGAGATATTACAAATATACTATAATTCAAATGGATGTATAGGTCATTGGTTCTAAAATTCTTTTGAGTGTTATGTTCACATCTGAATTAGGTGTAACTAACAGTCGGGTAAGTGGATCCATGTACTACTGAGTTGGAAGACCAATCACGTTAATTTAGTTTGCCGGAATATGTATTGGATTTCCTGTTCATTGGGGTATTACAAATATATTATTACTTCATTATCAAAAACAAATTACTCAGTGCTTAAGTTATTTAAGACTATCAAATCAAAACTTGATAGTAAAACTTATGACTTTGTAGGCCAGTTTTTACAAGGATAGATAGACTTGATCAAAACAGTGCCGAAGATGATCAAGATTGGTGTGAATCGCTTTAGCTTTCCCTACATGAAGACTAATATCATCGGTGGGTCTATTATCATAGGTCATGAAACTATCCAGAAGTGCGAAATCAGAAATTAGGTTGACTCATTCACCGGCTACTTCCGTATGAGCCACACTAAGTGTGAAAGATAATGAGACTAACCGATTGCGTAAAGCGAATTAGATAAAACGAGGCTCGAACCTAGGACTTGACGGGTGACAGCCGAACCCCTCAACCATCAAGCCACCGCTTCACAGACACGAAATTCTTGATAATTTCCAATGGATAATCACTAAGAGTGATCCCAGATACAAGCTGTTTTTTACGCACTTTATACTTTTATGGTCTAGAGAACATGTTATGTTTGTGGAAGTTGATCATCAAGTGATTAAATGCTATCACATGGTAAGACTTTACTAAAAGCTAAAACAAGTAGAATGTGTAAATAAAGGTTGGAAATATACAAGTACTTACGTAAACTAATAGATATATTGGAAAGATTATTTGATAGACTGTCAATGGAATCTTCTTTAGGATCTGTATTAGTACAAGTTTCCGATTCGCTTCCTTCATGAATCGAAGTCAAACTGGAAGTACATTTCTTTAATTATATGAGATAACATATTACTTTGATAATCCATGAGTGACCTTTGTTTCCTTATTCGCTATGGGATGGCTTTCGTCATCTTTGAGGAGGCGAGTCTATAGGAAGGAATCACCGTACGACTGGTTAAGACTTCAGTACCTTTTTCTCTGATAATATATCCCGAATCTTTTCAATTGACCTCACTAGTTTTTCACCGAAATCAGGCAACTTGGGAAGAAAACTAAAATAAATGAATCAGATGTTCTCATTTGACAAACTGGTCGCGTAAGTGAAGCTGCTTTGAGAGCAATTCTTCCAGCTCCAAAACTGTTAGGGACTCTAAAGATCGTCGGTTTTCCATCCAAGATCGAGTGGAGAAGTCTTAAAAAGGAAGTAATGCTATGAGATAAAAGACACAAATAAAATGTCACAAACAGCAGATATCAACCATAAGGTGGTTTAATAAGTAATTATGGCGTGGAACAGATACTAATAAATACACAAATCATAAGACAGGCACAGATTTAAAGACAGGTAGCCTAGCAATAAGGACTAGGAGAGTTTAAAAAAAACCTGATTCCAAACCAATGGTGCCCATGGGCTCCAGTATCCTGACAGACAAAATGACGTGTGAACCAATTATTGGTCGCTGGCCACCATGGGACTGCATCTCCTTACGATGCTCCACTGCCTTGTGGATCTGACCTTTAGGTCGAAGGCTCCAGGTGTGGCTCCCTAAGAAAACCACCTGCTTCGGTTTGGGCACCTAGGCAGTATTACGGCCCTCACACAAATCGAATGGTCTGTGCGGCGCATATCTATTCGGTGCCTCCTTGTATCAATGTTTAAGTAAATAAATAAACACACCATAAGGCATTAGACGCAGTGGGTTTTGAGTTGAGAAACATGTTATGAAAATTCTGGCCAATAAATATAAATGGGTACTCATAAAGAACTGTAATGGAATAAGTAGACATTTACAGAGACAATAATGCATTTTTACACCCAAGTCGGAGAAAAAACTGTAGGCGTCCATCCACATGTCTACAAATCGCTCATTTACTCTGATTTTGACCTAGACTGTTTCAGGTTTTTATGTGGTGAATTATTGATTTATATCGCCTGTATTTTGATTAGCTGACTACCAGATTTTCTCTTCCGATCCCATTTAAAGAGTTGCTCAACTTAGTAAGATTTACTCACGTCATAACTATACTTACCTGAAGCAAACTAATGACTGTAAAATGCTCAAGATAATTATCTTGTGCGTTTTACAAAGAAGTCTATTAACAGCCCAAAAGTAGCACATTCTTAGTAGATTCTTCCGTTTAAATAGAAAATCAACAGGCGGTATGAAACTTTATGGTTCTCAGTCACATTTACCCTAAAACTTTTTCACAATTGACAAATTTTATCCCAGAGTTGGGAGATTGTACTCGTACTACAATTTGCTCATATTTTTGCCTACTTACTAATTTATATTTATCAGCATTTTTTCACGGCTATCTTAGGAATTGTCTACGTTGGTCAGTATGATTATATTAAGGTATTTTGACAACTGTCGGAAGCTTTCGAAAGGAATTTTAACATGGACATATTGAAATCACAACTTCAGTCGTATTTGTTAAATAACTGGGTGGAATAGAAAATCACCCGACACTACGTTACCAAGAGCCAAAACTAGTATAAATAAAATTCCAAATGAGCTAGAAACACACCAGTAGCGTGCAGCGTGAATGCCGCGCTGGCTCCCAACAGTTCAGTTTCAGTTTCAATTTGGAAGAGATAGGACGTTTGACAGCCTGTGTTAGTCCTGGCAATGGTGGTCTCTCAGTTGATCCGACTTTCTTTTGAAAGAGTCGACGGGTGGAGCCATACCCACATTCTGGAGTAATAAATTCCATAATGCAATGAGAAGACGCAGTTTATCAGAATTATGTGATATATTTGCGCAATACATTTCGAACAATCTGATCACACATATACTTGTTAAGAACATTTATATATGAAAAATTAAAAGGTCAACTAGACAGGTTAAGGGTAAGTCATAACAAAGGAAAAAATATTAAAGTACACAAAAACAAATGTGATTACCACTCTGGACAGTAAATCAGTACTACCAGGGTAGGTTAAGTGTAAGTACAAATTGTTTTTGAACACATAAAGGGGGTTTCAATTTTCGTATAGCCAAGGCTTCAATAAACCTTAGTATACGTCCTTGAAGGCTTTTGTACAACACAACAAATGATGATTTGATATCAACCTTATGACTCGTCTCAAATTCCACTCGTTGATGACTCGATGGGAAAGTCGATAGTCAGTCGACAGGTAATTTATTCTGGGTTTGAGAATTTTCGGAGAGTCCTCGTAATTTCTATTCTATAGAAAACAAAAAATAAGGGCATATCTGGCGCAAATTGATCACTAAGTAATTTGAAGACTGTAATCAGGTCACCTCTAGTGCTTCGATATGACAACGGGAATAAATCTAGTTTAGCCAGTCGAGCATCATACGGAAGCTTCGCTATTCCGGGAATCAGCTTAGTTGCGGTTCTCCGAATCTTTTTTAGAACCTCACTGTCTCTTTAATTAGGGTTTAGCCACTTGTGTGGAGTACTCAAGTTAAGGGCGCACAAACACTGTATACAAAATCAAAAAAAGTTTTAGCTACGACATCACTAAAGGCACCACGTATTGACCATAAGGTTCTAAAATCTTTGGCGGCTATTGCACGGCAGTGTGCAGTAGTTTTTAAGTCTTTACCAACGATGTGTTCAGTTTCGATAAAGGATTATGTACTGACGACCTTCGGAGAATGGTGAACTCATCAGGTAATGACACCTAGTTATAAAACAATTGACAAGAGGAAGGAGTGAAATAACTGAATAATCAGCCCACATATAAAATTATCCTCAATAGTAAATAAAAAGGTGGTTTACACGCCTATATGTATACATAATAGTAGTCGGCCTAATTTTGTGAATTAGGGTTATTGCCCATTGTTGTCGTCACTAACTGGCATCAATTATGATGGAAAAGATTAGGGTAATGTATTGAAGTTGAACTGGAGTATTTAGTTAGGTTAATAAATAAGGGTGTTGTTTTTCGACACTAACAGACATCAGTTATGGGGCCATGCATTGTCACCTCCCCATTTACAACCTGAAATACAACCTACGTCTGTCTGATATACTAAAGGTGGAAGGAATACAACGAGACTTCACCCGCAAAATACTTAAGACTGGCTCGGTCATTGACTACAGTTCTCGATGCCAAATCTTAGGAATAGCACCCCTTTGGGAGAGAAGGCTTAGGTCTAATTTGATTCTCTACTTCAAACTACTCAAAAACCTTACTTATTCAACATGTCAGATAATTCTTGCCCGAGATTCACATAAATACGGACTTCGAAACAAAGTATCTACGGTCAAAGTTGAGAAATACAGATCAAAAACTCGGGAAAACTTCTTCCTCACCAAGTATGCAATAATATGGAACAGTCTTCCCCCCGAGACTCGCATGGCAGATGAACTACATACGTTTGTGAAACTGCTTGATCAAGCCCTCACTCGCACTGATCTTGCACGTACGAACACATCTGCGCCCCACTCAGACATCATAGGCTCTCTCCATGTCTAGACCAAAATGGACTTCAAGTTCAGTTTGCCTTATTTTTCCTACTTTGCAGTTGTATTAATTATTTTTTCCACCCCATTTCTTCACTTGAAGTAGACAGGTAACTCACTGGACCTATCATTACTGTTAAACTAAACTCGGTCGATAAGGGACACTCACTACCACCCTAAAAAGTCAAGAGGACCGCATAATCGGCTGCCTACTACCAGTGGTCTTGAATCTATGGAACCTGTTACCAATCAACTGGTTAAGACAACAGAAAATAACATCAGCACCAAGTTACTGTGAGTTCCTTCCTGTTTATCCTGTATTAACTTTTTACTCTTCCGTACACTATGTTGACTAGCAATTAATATTATTTCTCCACTCGTTCCCTTACCCAAAACTCATATACTTCTATACTTCTTCCGCCTGCTTAAATAAACAACTATCCTACAATATACCCTTCTTAACGCTTATACTCTGATTGGCAAACTATACTTTATACTACAGTCAATTAAAGCACTGCATCGATGCCTTACCCACAGTCCATAGCTTGTAACTGCCTGATAAGCTTGTAAAATGGTACTTATAGAAATAGTGCTTTCCAACAGGTTGTGAAACACAGAGAATTGTGTGAGGTATGACGTATATACAAAAATAAGCTTAAATGAGCCTAACATCACAAAAGGAGGGAGGGTGGAGTTACTGACCAGCAAGCATTGATGGTGGGGGCGATAACTTCAATCCACCCGTGTTTGTGGGGACAGAACATTTTGTATGTATCAGGCTCTTTATAACTGAGAATAAGACAGTCAATCTAAGATATAGATTGTCTTCCTACGCTCACCACTCAGATTCACGTTTCTGATATTATGCTGGATTAGCTATTGTACTAAGACAACATATAAAATACTAACTCGGACTTGTACACTAGGATTGTGTGGCTGGCATCGGATAGAAAAAAAAAGATTACAAGAGATATAGTCATTAGTATTCTTAACACTTCACCCTCTATATACACACCTGTAGAATTATGGTCTACTATGATATTAGTACTGCTCTAATAATAGACCTAATCCTAAATCTGTAGATTCGTCATGATATAACTGCCTAATCTATAAGATCTTACGTGGAAGTCACACCATCGACTACACCAACTCACTGTATCGTATCAATTACCAATACATGATGTAGAACAAGGTTAGGCTAGAGAAAGAACAATATATTTAATATGAATAGAAGATATAAGGTAACATTAAGCAGAGACCACGCCTGCATGGCCGAGTCATGCCACTCGATCAACTCCAGTCCATTTAATTCATTGTTCGCGCCTTCTCCATTGTTAGGTATTTCTCCGCGTTAACTATTGAATATCTATTTTCTGAGTAGTCTCGTGTTCACAGCTTTGTGGATTGTGTGGCTATTGTCCAATGCCACTACACTACTCTCCCACCACAATCAACGTGATGTTGGTTCGATACCAAATTGGATGGGATCGTCGCGCGCCGGAGGTTACCAAGGATAATAAGAATCCTCCGGTTATTGATAAGCTGAAAGATAAATCAAAAAGAAAGCGGCAGCATCTGGTCGGGAAATACATGTAATAGCTTTAAAATATCTGCCTTCATGCTTAAAACGCTTGAAGTGAAAATTTGGGTGAAGATTATTTGAACTATAAAGAATGGCATAATAATAATGATAATAAAACGATGCGTGCTAATAGCCGTTGGTTAGTAACTTAAC